AAAAAGAATAAACTCGAAATCTGGAATCTTATCTCGTGTCAAATTCTTAATCGATCACTTCTAAGATTCGACTCGTAGTTGTCGCTGACATAGTGCGTGGCGATTGGTCCTGAGCGCTGACGAAGAGTGTGGCAAGCAGGTACCTTTGCTGCCGAAAGCGTGGCGATTACGGGGTTGATCCTTAGAATCACTATTAATTCCCGAAAGTGAATTTGGCTTTTACGCTGCCGATCTGAGCGCTGACGAAGAGTTTGAGCGCTGACGAAGAGTGTGGCGAGCTATAAAATTCATTTTCGAAGATCCGGGTTAGATGACGAAAAAGGGAGGCAAACGAACTTAAATCAAAAGGATTAGGTGCCAGATTAAACAAGCAGTCATTTCTAATCAAGATCCTCTCCCCTTCCTCCGACAATTGCAACAATTAGAAAACGCACCTCTATTTAAACCTGTTCCTGTCGACTTTGATTACCCTCATTTTAATCAGATAAACAAAAGTGATCCTCGTTACAAAGTTTTTAAACTTAGATATCTTTTTGGTCCCGAATAACAACAATAATAATATCCTTCACACGACTTGTCCAAATCCCTGGTAAATTGCTTAAATGCATTGACTAAAAAACGGACGAACAATAACAGTCAGAACGTGACAATAACATGCATGTCTAAAATCGGGACATAAAACGTCTAAAAGACATTTTTTATACATTTTTTAAACGTTCTTACGAAATGATGGCTAAAAAAACATCTTATATCCTAATTTTGAACATGGTACTGTCAGTATTTAGTGGCAATTTGACTAATAGAATATTGTTTTCTAACACATTGTTTATGATTTTCACAGGTTATTTATGCAAGCAGGTATTAAAGATTTACAATTCTTGCACCACTTGTGTAAGCTATAAGTTAGAAGCTATAAGATTAGATTCTTTGCATGAATTTTCGGTGTCAGAGTTGGTCGACATTAAATCAAGAGGTGGACTAATACACTTAAATTTACGATTTTTTAAACTAATTTGGGTAAATATGCAGAATTGTGGCTTCCTCACCGATTTCGTTGAACTTAGGCTTAATCGATGTGTTTTTGCGTGAAACGAAAGAATCTGGCAGAAAAAGTGTCGCTCTGCCCCGCGAAGCGAGATATTAACAGTTAAAGTTGACGACTATCAGGTTATGATACCTGTCATACCGACGAGATGTAGCGACTACAAACATGCCCTGTGGCCATATGCGCATGCTCAGTGGCCGCACGCGCATGCAAGAGGTCACGTGACAACTGTTTGGTTCACGGAAAAAAAAATTTGGTTGAATTAATTGGAAATCTGGTTGAAACAACCTGACTGTCTGGTGAGAAATGAGCGATTCATAATTTTTATTAAAATAACCAGACAAATTTAGTTAGTCGCATCCTGGTTGAAGTAACCGGACTTTGATTGTAACAACGAAACGTTTGATTGTAATACGATGACAATATCTCATTAAGGTATTTCTTTCACGAAGGAGCGTATTTTGTAGGCGCTTAAGCAGGGCCTCAGCAAACTCTTGTATATTGCATTAAATTTATATAAAATCAAGTTATAATTGATTATTATGTTTAATTATAAGAAAAAAGTAAAAATATTATGTGTATTTATAAATTTTTCATTTTTCGGTAAATTTTACTGTCAGAACAATATAGCAACGCTGCGCTTTTCAGGGCGCCGATTGTAAAATGTGAAGTTGATAACAATAAAGTGTCAATGTAAGTGTCAATTTCATTAATCAAAGAATATTGTGACATTTTCTTTTTATCAAAGAGAGATTCTATAATAATAATGAGTGATAAGAAACATAAAGTGAGGAGTAATGTGGGCAAAATAAGGGACAATTTGTGAAAATAAAAGTTGATAATAAACCGTACGTGATGAACTGAAGTGTGACATGAGCGCACAGCTTGCAGCGTTGCCAAATAATTCCTTGAAAGTTGCCATTAAAAATTGTGAAAATACACGAGTCTATATTTTAGTTTTGCAAATTTCTGTTTATCTCTATAACGTTAAGATTACTAGCAACTTTCAGTTCAATTTTTAATTCCTTATAGAGAACGCGTCGGTTCTATACATGCGCACTTTCTACTTTACCTTCGTTTCCGCTCATGTACCGCGCTTTTCTTCAGAGCTAATTTTACTGCCATATTGTTCTGACCGTTAGTCGGCCGTCCTGCCGTGTATTGTAAAACTCGAATACTTATATTAAACTGTGCATATACTCAAGTACTGTGGAAGTTATTCTACACACCAAACGCCCTATTCCACATAATAAAATAACAAAAATATTCATCTATAAACCACATTTCAAGTCAACTTTTAACATAAATATTTTGTTTAAATATTCGGTGACTCTGTATTTTTATCGGCACTATCGAAAGCATAGAGTTTAGCGAATATGTAGCAGTAGGGAGGTAACATCTACTTCTACACTCAGGGATCTTTTTTGCGGTTAGCGGGGTCGGGGGGGGCTTTGCTGCCGCGGGGGGAGCGCTGTAAGCGGTGGGCGAGGGGGTCGAGGGACAGTGTAAAGGGTCACCAGAGGAGGGGCTATGCGGGGGGAAGAGAAAACTGGGTGAGAGGGGGAGCGCGACGCGAGGGGAACATTTGACGTAAGGTTGGGTGTGGCAGGGCCGCCAACGGGGGTTCGGCGCGGGGCAGGGCCGCCAACGGGGGCTCGTTGCGGAGATTTGGGCATTTTCCGAGGGGGCGCTCGGAGCGGCGCTCGCGCCGTTACCGACCGTTTTGGAGAATCGCGGGCCAATATTTTTTGTTTGTTTTTTTCTTCGTCGTCGGTCGCGCGCGCGTTCGGGCGCGTCCAAACTCGTTCGAACTTGTTTGAGGTCGCTCGTCTAGACGTTTCGGGGTGGGGGGGGAGAACGACGCGTTCTAGATGGTTTTTTTCGCGGGGGGTCTCGCGCGCCCGTCTTCGTCGTCGTCGTCGTTTTTTTTTTAACTCTCGGTCCGAAGGTCGTTTCGATCCGCGTCGCGACGGGCAGGATGTGGTTTTCCTGCCTATCCCGACTCATCGAGATCGATGGAGATGACTCGTCTCATCGTTCGATCGATACCTGATAATTTTTTTAACAGGCGTTCGAACTTGTTCGCGGTCGCTCTCGTCGTTTCTTCCTTTTGTTTTGTTTTGCGGTTTTCCTTCTTTTGTTTTGCGGTTTTCCTCCTTTTATTTTGCGGTTTTCGTGCCCATCCCGACGCGACGTATCGAGATCGAGTGAGATGACTCGTCTCTTCGTTCGATCGATTCGTACGATTCGTGATAATTTTTATTCAACGCGCGTTCAAATTCGGCGTCGCGGTCGCTCTCGTCGTTTCCTCCTTTTGTTTTTCTTTTATTTTTCGTCGGAGGATGCCGCGAGCGGTTGTCGTCATTCTGGGTTTTTTCGGAAGACGCGGCGAGCGGTTGTCGTCATTCTGGGAAAAAGCGCGTCCGGCAGGGGTACGTCTTCCGTTGAGACGACAAACGTGGGGGTATAAATTGAACGGGCGCGCGAACGGCGCGGCAAACGGTTTTTTTCTACGAGGATTCTAGAGCGCAATCGAGAGTTAATATATTTGTAAAAAAATACGGTATGGGAACGGACGGACGCTATTGCTCGTCGATGGTGCGTTTGCTTCGCGGCAGAGAAGTCGGATTTCGAAACGTACTCGCAGGCACTAAAACGTGGTGTCCCAAGCATTCTAGATCGCATATCAATAAAAACGAACGCAGGTGGTGTCCCAAGCATTTCAAATTGCATTTCAAATTGCATATCGGTAGAACCGAACACATTTGGAGGGCTTTGGACTCATACGTTAAAACATGTTGGTGTATGATTCGCGGCAGCGTCCGTAACGTTTACGACGAAGTATCGACGCACGAGTTCTGTTTACAGTGTGGAGGGAATTGTAAAATAGGTTTATGGGATACTTATAATTACACCGAAACATTAATGTGGGGGGATTGAAGATGGAGATTTTTTATTTTGATATAGACGTCAGCGGTGCGAATGTAGCGTCGGCGATACGTCCCAGCCGGAACGTCTACGTCTATAGACGTCCAATTGACATCTTATAGATGCCGATTCAACATCTATCGACATCTATAGACGTTGAAAAGATACTAGCATTCCGGCTGGGGTACTCGCGAATGAACGATCGCCGTTGTCCGTCGTCCGAGAAATTGGACGACGAATGGCGCTGTCGCGAGCCCATGCCTAAGTTTTCGTCCGATTCGGACAACGAATCGGCGAGAGTCAAAATACCGTTGTCGAGTGCGCGCGCGTCGGTGGCGAAAAAGGACGCGCGATGGAATCTGGCTACCCATCATCTGCGAAGGGAAATCGGAGCGCGAACCGATCGCGAGCAAAAGTGGATAGAAACGACGGTGGCGAACTCCGTCAGGGCGAGCGATTATACGCGTCGCCTGCCGCTCGTGTACTATCTCTATCACGAGACGGTGTACGGAGGAGAGAGCAGGATACATAGGATTCAAACCACCCGGTCTTGTCGTCTTTTCGACCGAGTGAAGTTCAACGTTCCCGAGGGTGAACCTTTCTGGACGCGATGCGGAAAGAGTGCGACGAGTCGCTCGCCGCGGACGTCCGCGACGCGGACGGGTACCGCGCGTGGAGACGGCAATGCGACGAGTGTCTCCGACTCCTGCGGGAGCAGTGTCGAGTCAAACGCTCCGGGAAGCGAGGAAACACGGGAGCCGTGAGCGCTCTGGTGGTTCTGATAGCGCGATTGGAAGGTTCGAGGGAGGATCTGTGTCGACGATTCGAACGCGCCGTAGGTGTCGGCTTGGACGGAGGGGAAGGTGGTAGCGGCGGCAGCAGCGACAGAGGTTTCTCGTGGATCGAGATCGACGCGGTGTTCGAACGTCGCGTGCTGACCGGCGCCGTGACGAACTCGACGTACATCGAGCCCGCGCGATTTCTCGACGACGCGAAGGGCACCGTGCTCTAAAAGGTGCGGGATAATATGACCAAACACGGGTGTCTAAAGGTCAACGTCATATTCAACGGGGAATTCGTAGCGGACGTTAAGACCGACGTGAAGAGTATCGCTACGCGGAACGAACAGCTTGTCCCAGGGTCCGATCTGGGCGAGTGGCACGATAGGCACGTGCGCGACGCGATTCTAACGCGGTTGGAAGAATTTCAGGAAGGCGACAGCGGATGGGCGTTGTCGCGAATATTGAACCTAATCGTGAACGTGAACAAGTGTAATCCCATGCGCGTGGGATGTTGGATGAAAATACCGCTGGGTATAAGACTTAAAAAGGCGGTGGTCAACGTGCTGTCGGAGAACGACGCGTGTTTCGCGCGCGCGGTGGTCGCGGCTCTGTGTACCCCGCCAAGCGCAACGCGGAACGATGCGGCTCGTATCCCGATTACGCGACGGTGCTGAATCTCGACGGGATCGATTTTCCCATAGATCTAAAAAAGATCGGAAAATTCGAACGTCAGAACAACGTATCGATCAACGTGTTCACAACTCAGGAAGGAATTGAAAAGAAAGCTAAGTTCGGCCGGGGCGCCGACTACAACGCGATCGTGCCTCTGCGGTTGACCGACGATGAGCGGGACAGGCATGTAAATCTGCTGTATCTGCGCGATACGCTGCGCGGTGTCAACAGGGGCCATTTCGCCTGGATAAAGAATCTATCGCGATTGATGAATTTGCAATTGACCGCAAAATGGTGCGCGAAGCACGTTTGCGATCGGTAGGTAAAAGAAATGAAATGAAATGAAATGAAATGAAAAAAAAACACGAGGAACAAGGAAAAGACGAGGCGTTATTTTTTTTTACATACGCACAGTAACGCTCGTACGTTATTTTTCGCAGATGTCTACACTATTTCTATACGCGCGACAAGTTGGCCGCCCACAGCGTCGACTGCAGCCGAATGAACGACTACGCCGAGAGCGACAAGTGGCTGTCTTTCGACAATTACGACAGAAAGGAGCGACTTCCCTTCGTGGTATACGCGGATCTAGAGTGTCTTCTCGAACGACGGGAGAGGGAAAACGTCGAGGGGGGCCCGAGAACGGAAAGATACGCTTATCAGCGTCACGTACCGTTCAGCCTGGGCTACTATCTGTGCTGCATCTACGACGATACCGCGTCCGCGTACAGATATCGTCGCGGCGAGGATTGCGTTTCGTGGTTCGTGAACGAGCTTCGCGTTCTCGCGCGTCGCGTTAAGAATAAATTTTCCACCAATATAGCGATGGCGGAACTTACGGAGGACGAAAAAAGCGAATTTCTGCTCGCGACTCATTGTCACGTGTGCGGGAAACCGTTTCAACCGGAGGACAAGCGCGTGCGGGATCACTGTCACCTAACCGGACGTTACAGAGGTCCGGCGCATTCTCGTTGCAATCTGAATTACAGAAACGTTTACGTGATTCACGTGTTCTTTCACAATTTGTCGGGTTACGACGCGCATTTCGTCGTCGAGAAAATCGCGAACGATTTCGAGGGCGGGGTCGATCTGCTGCCGCTCACGAAGAAAAGCTACATATTTTTCTCGAAGACCGTTAAGGAGACGCAGACGGACGGGAAATGGGATCGGTACGTGAAGCTTCGATTCGTGGACTCGTATAAATTTTTAGCGGCGAGTATCGAAACCCTGGCGTCCTATCTGAACAGGGACAAGTTGAGAATCACGCGTTCAGAGTACGCGGATTTGAGCGCGGAGGATCTCGATCTGCTCACTCGCAAGGGTGTGTTTCCGTACGAGTACGTCGACGGCGCGGACAAACTGCGGGATACCGAGCTTCCGCCGCGCGAGGCCTTTTACAGCTCCCTGACCGACGAGACCGCAAGCGAGAGCGACTACGAGCACGCGACGAGGGTCTGGCAACGTTTTCGCGTGCGAGATCTCGGCGAGTACAGCGATCTGTATCTCAAGACCGACGTGCTTCTTCTGGCGGATATATTTGAAAATTTTCGGGACGCGTGTTCGGCGAGTTACGGGCTCGATCCCGCGCATTACTACACGTTGCCGGGGTACACGTGGGACACCATGCTGAGGTACACCGGCGTGCGTTTCGAGCTGCTCACCGACATCGACATGGTGCTGTTCGTGGAACGCGGAATACGCGGCGGCCTCAGTCAATGTTCGCTCAGGTACGCGCAAGCCAACAACAGGCACGTACCGACGCACAACTCGTCCCAGCCCACTACGTATCTCATGTATTACGACGTGAACAATCTGTACGGCTGGGCTATAAGCGTTGCCTTACGCGAATTTCCAGTAGCTCGATGATCCTGAGAATTTCGACGCGACGACCGTGCCGACGGACAGCGACGTCGGTTACATTTTGGAGGTGGATCTCGAGTACCCGCGAGACCTGCACGACGCCCACGCGGATCTGCCGTTGTGCCCGACGCGCGACAAACCG